CTAGAAAGTAGCAGATGTACCAGCAATATGTAATGCTGCGAGGGAACAACATATCGTCCGTTGTTCCAAAATCTCTATTTCCATTATTTCCATAGGTTTATTGACTAGCTACCAGTGCAACACATGTGCATAGCTAGATAATGAAATAAAAAAAGGAGTTCAAAAAAAGGATTTCATAATTTTATACAGAAGAATTTAAGGATTAGCCTAATTGTAATACGTCGATGGGCCCTTGGCCCTGCGGCTGGCCCAGGAGGGGGGTTGGCGCGGCCTCGCTGCCGCCGTCACCGTCGTCGCCGTTGCTTCTGCGCCAGTTAAATTACTTAGGGGCTAAGTCTTCCCGGGACTATAAATTCAAGGGGCCTTGTACCGTTAAATCTTGAGTAAAGAATAATCAAAGGGGTAAAACTCTAAAGCTCTCAAGCCTTCAAGCTCTCTTTATCTTCCTCGCACACGCGCCACCGCCACCCAACCCTAGCCCTCTGCGCCGCCGCAGCAGCGCCGCCGCCGGCACCCTCCGCCGCTCCACACCGCCTGCGCCACCGCGCCGCTACGCCGGCGGGTGCCTACAACCTCACCGTCGGTAGCCCCCGTCGTCGTACCCATTATACCTGGTATCGGAGAACCGGTTCGATCCATGGCCGCCATCACCATGAACGCCACCGAGGATCTCCGCAACACCATCGTAAGTTGGTCAACAATTCTCAAAAAATTTCTTCTAGACCAACAGAATGCAAGCCAGATCGGATCAGATTTGGATGCCACCACCAACACCCAGCAGCTGTTCAACGATGAGATCGCCGAACTGGATCGTCGCCTAAAGGACAAAGAGGATGAGATGGAACGCCTCCGCGTCATCAGCAACGTCAGCGTCAACCCCACGGGTGAGAACATCATCTCCGACGACGTCACCATCAACTCGGTCCAAACCGGATCAGATCTGAATGTCGCCATCAACAACACGGTTGTGGAAGAACAACAGGTTAGAATCAGCACCAATAAAATTTTTATTACCACAACTATGGAGAAATCCCTCTCAGCTGGCACCACGGAGATCGACAAGAAGGAGTTGAACCAGCCGTTCACACCACCAACAGCACAACATGCGCCCCTGCCCCTGTGCTCAATTCAGATCGACGACAATGGCTATCCTTCGGCAACGTCATCATCAAACTCCGCCGGCGTTGAACCCTACGACACAACCGTCAACGCGGTCAAATCCCGATCAGATTTAGATTTGGACGCTGTCATCGACGATGCTATTGTGGAGGAAAGACAGGTTGAATCACCACCAATAAAATTTCTATTACCGAATCTATGGAGGAATCCCTGTCATCTACCGCCAATGAGATCATCAAGAAGGTGTCGCACATGCCATGTACGTCACAGACAGCACAACAGTCGACATTGTCACGGTGCTCAAATCAGATTGACGATAATGACTATCCTATGGTCATCATCTCCACGCCGGCCTCCAACGACAGCGACAGCAGCACGCTGCCGCGCAAGCAAGGATCCACGCCTCGAGGAGATCGCCAACACCATTACAATAATCCATCTGGAACAAGAGGTAACAACTATAGCACAACTCCAGATTCTACCTCTTCATCAGAGAAGAGATACCACAGGCCACCCCTAAACATCTTGGCGACTACGCAACCACCCCAATTCCCGTAATCGGAGATAACAGAACCTTTAGGGAATCTTGAACATCGCTACAATAAGTTGTGCTTCCCCACCAACAACGACAAGAGCAGTTGCAAACTGTTCTTTGGAAGGCAAGAGATCTCCATTGCCACGGACATCGTCCACCCAACTCGAGGCGATCTGCTAGGCACGCAACAACAATTTTGGATCGACATCACCTACAACAAGCACGTCGCTTACCCCTACAACTCCAACATCCCGCTCTCCAATGACTACAACGCTGGCAACATCAACACCTACATCGCCACGTCAACTTGGCTGGAATTTCAGCACGTGGACGCGCTGATCGGAAAAGGGGGGAGTGGTGCCAGGCGACCAATAAGGGTCATGAGCCCGATTGATCTTGGGCACATCAGCAGCAACGACGTCCTGGAAGCCGTCCTAGCAAACAACACGGCAACGCCAACCTGGTTCATGGACGAAAGGCTTATCCTCACCAACGGTCACCTCTACACACCTCTCATGCCATCTATCCTAGCTAACACGCTACAGGTACTGGTAGATGTTGGACCATGGCATATGGGACAACTGGCGCTCAGCTCGCGCCGACCTCCAACTACGGCATACGGCAATGAAGCACCAATGAGCATTCCCAGTAGGCACTACATGGTGTATGCCAATGACGTGGTCGTCATCGATAGCTCAGGCTGCCAGCTCATCTACATCGACTACGCTACGTCACGGTTGTTAGCAGCAATTGTGCCTACGACCTCATCACCTAGCTTCGGTAGACGCTCCACCTCAGCAAGGAGTTCCACGTACCTTGGCCCTACTTCATGACAAGTCGTCAAACAGCAGGCACTGGCAACGTCAGGGGCTCGAACAACGACTACATATATAGCTACCGTGGCAACCTTCTCTACGGCCTGGAGTTTGCAACAACTCACGTGCCAAGGAACGTCGTCATCAACAATCTTGCGAAACACCATCCAGGCATCCCAGCACTTCGAGCCGACATCATCCCCAACAACGGACCATCAAGGATGCAGCGCGAGGACGCGCCACGTAGAAAAGGGGGGAGTGATGTAACACGCCGATGGGCCCTTGGCCCTGCGGCTGGCCCAGGAGGGGGGGGGGCCTCGCTGCCGTCACCGTCGTCGCCGTTGCTTCCGCGCCAAGCTAGGATTAGATTACTTAGGGGCTAAGTCTTCCCGGGACTATAAATACAAGGGGCCTAGTACCGTTGAATCTTAAGCAAAGAATAATCAAAGGGGTAAAACCCTAAAGTTCTCAAGCCTTCAAGCTCTCTTTATCTCCCTCGCGCACGCGCCGCCGCCGCCCAACCCTAGCCCTGCGCGCCGCCGCAGCAGCGCCGCCGCCGCTCGCGGCCTCGCCACCGGCGCCCTCCGCCGCTCCACGCCGCCCGCGCCACCACGCAGCTACGCCGCCGGGTGCCTACAACCTCGCCGCCGGTAGCCCCCGTCGTCGTACCCGTTATACTAATATCTTAAACATTTTAAGAACTAATATTATTATTACTAATTAGAGATTCCACGTCAATTTTCATCAAATGCATTGGAAAAAAATATATTAGAATCTATAACCACTAAACGAAAGACTTATTCATAAGCACTAAATCTATTTTGTTTTTTTTCTAAAAAAAATTAGTTACCATTATCATTATAAATAAATAAATAAATAGCTTAAAATCACCTCGAAAAGCAAACTCTCCGGTTGTACAGTTGGTTAATTAATGAAAATAATCGGCATAGTTTAGGGACTACAATTCATGTTGGTTGGTTAAAGAAAACTGGATCGGGCTGTCCATGACGTCCACCATTGGTTAGTAACCTTTTAATGAAAAACAATAAATCTTAATAATCTATTAAAATAACAACATTTACAATCAATCAATCCTAATAAATAGGCAGTTTTGCTTTGGACACTAAAAGTGACTTCTATTTGCTTGCGGACACCTAAAATAGAGTTATTTGCTTATCGACACTCCCATTCTTGACAAATTTATTGGGGTGGACACCGCTCTAATAAAATATTATTTTTATCTCTGGAACAGAGAGAAGAGCAGTAAAATATCATTCTTGCCTGTTTCTTCACATCAAATTGCAGGATTCAATAAAGAACAGATTAGTTGCAAATCGGAATTGGACGGAGTAATGACATATGGGCCATCCATTTGTTCGGCTGCGTTGGACTCGCAATCTTGCTTCTTGTTTTTTTGTCCATAACCACTAAACGTTGTTTTTTTTGTTTTTTGTCCTTTTTTGAAAGATTCTCATAGATACACCTCTAGATGTATCCTTTAGAAAAATGGACATTAAACTCGGCGCCGTGACAATTGGCGATAAGGTTACACGTCTAGTTGCCAAAGAAATTATGAACTTGGAATGGGGATTACAAAGAATTTGGAATGATATTAAGTAGAGTTGATGTATTGCAATTATGAATTTGGAAGGTAATGGGATGACATGGCAATTCATGAATGCTGTGGATAGTTAAACCAGTCTCAATGGGTTTCACGAGGTTTTCATGGTCATTAATGAAGAGAGATAAGAAAAGAGTTTTATGAATAAAATGAGTTTCATAGGATGAAATTTATATGCACTTTTTCAAATCACAATAGTCTAAAACCGTCTCCGAAAAAAACTTACTTTTACAATTGATGGTAAGGTATCAGCTAGTTTTGCTTACCAACTCTGAAGATCATTTTTTACCGTTAGTAAGAAAAAACATTTGTGTACTTGTAAAACCAAACTACTCAAAAGTAGAAGCCACCTTATCTTCTTCATTCTTAGCACTAAGTACTCGCATTCCACAAAGCACGCAGCTAAGTTGTCCAATACTCTGTGCCTGCATATGTGATAAATTTTTTATGTCATAGCTCGCCTGCTACTCCTACCGGTGTAAACAATTCACATGCATCGTGAGACGTGTCAACAGGTCAATTATTGGCGACAGCACGTGATTACACCGATCCTCATATGGATAAAACAACTTAATTAAAGTTATTCGTTAGCTAGCCGACCTAGGTATTTGTCGGGGAGAAAATGAAAAAAAGTCTAGTGCAGGTGCTGGATCCTCGACAATCGACGCATACGCCGGCTTTTGAGGGCTGCAACGTGCAAGCACGTTCTCGCCATTGGAGGTGCAATACGTTAAATTAAACTAGCAGCAGACCAACGTGCATCGACCACCGTCCCGGCCCGTGACGAACTCAACAGCTACCTTAAACACTACCACTCAACAGCTCCAATCTCCACTGTTCACTCTGCACAAGCACACAAACACACACACACCAGCAACCTTTGCTCCTTGCATTTGCGCCAAGAGCATCAATGGAGGTTGTGCTTGGGGCACTACCGAGCCTCCTCCCCAAGCTCGGTCAGCTGCTTGCCGACGAGTACAACCTGCAAAAGGAGGTCAAGGGAGGGATTATTTTCCTCCAAGCTGAGCTTGAGAGCATGAAGGCAGCCCTTGAGGATATCTCCAAGACCCCATCTGACCAGCTTCCTAGTGGGGATAAGATTTGGGCCAGGAATGTAAGAGAGTTGTCCTATGACATAGAGGACAATATCGACACATTCATGGTGCAAGTCAAGGGCCATGAGCCGGCCAAGAAGCATGGCTTCAAGAAGTTCATTGACAAGACCCTTGGTTCCCTGATGCAGCCCAAGATTCGCCGTAAGATTGCTGTTGACATCAGAGAAATCAAGAGTCGTGTCACAGAGGTGCATGATCGGCGCCGCAGGTACAAGATTAACCACCAAGCTGAAAAGCCTGTCACAGTTGATCCCCTTGCAATGGTTGCAATGGTTCGTTATAAGAATCCGACCGAGCTAGTTGGCATTGAGGAGTCAAGGGATGAAGTAATCAAGATTCTGACAGAAGTCAATGAAACGTCCAAGGAGCAAAATAAGATAGTTTCCATTGTGGGATTTGGTGGTTTAGGAAAGACAACTCTAGCTAATGTTGTGTTTGAGAAGCTTAGAACACAGTTTGATTGCTCAGCTTTTGTATCAGTGTCTCAAACTCCTGATATGGGTACACTATTCAATAACATGTTCTATCAACTCGCTCACAAGAAAACTGATAGTATTGATATCATCGACGAACTAAGAAAATTCCTTCAGGATAAGAGGTATGGATATATCATAAAAACTAGTTATTAATTTGTTTCTTGGAGTTTTTGTTTAGAAAGTTTGACAATATGATTGTATTTCCGGATCACTTTTTAGTGCAGCTCAAGTTTATCTCTTTTCCTTTATGTGATACCATCTCTTTAAGTGAGTTTTGCTTCCAAGTGAGAACCCATTATTGCCTCTTGTCTAGTCCTTGGTTCAGTACTCTAGAGCTCATTTTTGTGTGTCCATGTAATGATCTGCAACAACCAGAGATCCTTCTGGAGATGCAAAACAGAGACTTCTGGAGCCTTTTTTAGGACTAATTCATTCAGTGTAAGCAAAACCAGAAGCTTTGCTTTTGGTGGGGCCTGGCTAAGGGAAAAGCAAGCGGTTAAAAACAAGTAAAACCAGAAGCTTAGTTTTTCAGAATGCAGTAGATGTAGCAGTGCTCAGAGGAAACAAAACAGTCGTCCCTATTACAAAATCTCCACTTCCATTTCCATTCATCTATTGAATATCCATACATTAGATACGCAAAGCTTCAGAATTTGTATCAAAAGAAAATAAGATTGCAGAATTTTTAAAGAAGAATTTAAGGATTAGCTTAATATATGGTAAATTCGTTTGAAACTATTATATAGTAAGTTTTAACTGAAATCGTTCACATGTTTCTAAGAATGAAAAGGCTGTGTTATTTGGCTACTTACTATTTGATAGCATGTAGCCCACCTATTGCTTTGCATTGCTCACCTACGTGTAGAAGAAGGCTTGCAAATATCAATAATAATATGGTAGACAGTAGGCAGGGGCTGCCTTGATGTTTTACGAACATTCTTTTCCCTTGCTGATGATTGTGGTATCGATTACCGATTAATAAACCTTTATTATCCCTCAGTTATATAACATGCGCAACGCATGCAAGGAAGATTAGAATTTTTTTTCTCATTTTGCTTAGTTGCGTACATGACACATGACCTTCTATTGCTCAATATGCAGGTACTTAGTTGTTATTGATGACATATGGAACATCTCAAACTGGGAAATGTTTAGATGTGCTTTGCCCGATGATAGTGTTGAATACAGGATCATCACAACTACCCGCAGTGACGAAGCCAGAAAAAAATTTAGGAGGGGCTAAAACAAAAGAATAGAGGCTTTTTTATCTTCTCTTAACCTTAGTCCCTCCTACCTAATACATATATGCATAAAATTTTAAGGAAAGGCTTAAGGGGGCTCCACGTGCGCAGGATGGGTAGGGGGGGCTAGAGCCCCCCTAGCCCCACCGCTGGCTTCGTGCCTGACTACCCGTAATTTCATAGTTGCTAAAGAAATTGGCGGTCCTTACAAGATGAAGCCCCTTTCTCTTGAGAACTCTAGGATATTAATGTACAAAAGAATATTTGGCAAAGAAGAAAAAGAAAAATGCCCCGATCAACAGCTAGAAGAAGTATCAAATAGAATACTAAAGAAATGTGGTGGTGTTCCCTTAGCTATTATCACCATCGCTAGTTTGTTGGCTAGTAAAGGAAGAAACAAATTAGAATGGTTTGGTGTGTGCAACTCTATTGGCGCAGGACTAGAGGAGGATAATACTATAGAGAATATGAGAAAGGTTTTGTCACTCAGCTATTATGATATGCCATCTCATCTAAGGACTTGCTTGCTATATTTAAGTATGTTTCCAGAAGATTATGACATTAGAAAAGATCGTTTGATATGGTTGTGGATAGCCGAAGGTTTTATCCAATCTAAAAAGAAAGATAAGAGCTTATTTGAAATTGGGGAGAGTTATCTCAATGATCTCATAAATAGAAGCATGGTCCAACCCAAGCATGACAGATGGATTGGCATGATGGAATCTTGCCGTGTAGATGATATGGTGCTTGATCTTATCTGTTCCTTGCCTCCTGACATTAGTTACGTGGTGCAGGGCTAATGTTATCTTCCGGCGACCTTGAGGTCTTGAAAGAACAGAACTCTCAATTATTTTCCAGCGACCGGGCAGAGGCAGGCATTGATGTGCAATCTATCCTTTCCTACAGGCACTTGTAAAATAAAAATGTTTTAGTAGTAGTGCTTAATATGATGTTATTTCAGTCACTGTCCATAGTACAGTTCTTGGTGATAAGTTTGAACAAAAGATGCTTTTTCTTCGGTGGACAATTCATGATGTCCACGTCTGGACTCTGCTTTAGCATATGCTGTGGCGCCCGTCACCTCTTTTTCTTTGATTGATGTACGCTTCCTCTACATGTCTGGAATCTGCTTTGGCATATGGTGTGAATGCCAGTTTCCTTTTCCTTTTTCTCTTTGCTGGATAATTCCTATTCTCCACTAATAATACACAGGAAGCGTGCAAAACATCAAAGCATTGGCATTTAATTTCAAGGAGATATATCTCCCCTTTAATTTATCAGTGCAAATTCAAGATAGATTACTATTCAAGTTTGTTAGTTAGTTTCTAATCTGTCTAACTATGGGTTATTTAATTATTCTAATAAGAGGGAAATGAAACTAAAATTATGGAAGCCACCACGGGTTAACCAGAAAGATCTGATCAACGATCTGATCAACTAATAATAAAGCTACGTGCGAGCGAGGCAAAGAATCATTCTTTTCATTTACACGTGACCTACACTAGCTTTTTCCTTCCGCAAATCAAGCCAGCTAACCTCGAGCAGAAGCAAGCGACAAGCACCTCTCTCCCATCAATCTCTGTCTGCTCTATCCAAGCACAGCAGCACCAGCGTTCTCTTCTTCACTTCTTCCAAGCAGAGCAATCAAAGCACGCAGCCTCTCCAGTCAGGCAGAGCAACTCAGCAAACCTTCTGCTTTTCGTCTCCGATCCCTTTAGCACTGCCTTCCTGCTCTTGCAACATCCACGTATAAGCAATAGCAGAGTACTCTCGCTAGCTGCTCACTACGCACAAACACACACCGGCAACCTTTGATCCTCGCGCCAAGATCAATGGAGGTCGTGTTGGGGGCACTGCCGAGCGTCATCCCCAAGCTCGGTCAGCTGCTTGCCGACGAGTACAACCTGCAAAAGGAGGTCAAGGGAGGGATTATTTTCCTCCAAGCTGAGCTTGAGAGCATGAAGGCAGCCCTTGAGGATATCTCCAAGACCCCATCTGACCAGCTTCCTAGTGGGGATAAGATTTGGGCCAGGAATGTAAGAGAGTTGTCCTATGACATAGAGGACAACATCGACAAATTCATGGTGCAAGTCAAGGGTCATCAGCCGGCCAAAAAGCAGGGCTTCAAGAAGTTCATTGACAAGACCCTTGGTTCCCTGATGCAGCCCAAGATTCGCCGCAAGATTGCTATTGACATCAGAGACATCAAGAGTCGTGTTGCAGAGGTGCATGACCGGCACCGCAGGTATGAGGTTAAACACAGTGTTGATAAGTCTGTCAAAGTTGACCCCCTTGCATTGGTTGCAATGGTTCGGTATAAGAATCCAACAGAGCTAGTCGGCATTGAGGAGTCAAGGGATGAGGTGATCAAGATTCTGACAGAAGCCAATGAAACGTCCAAGGAGCAAAATAAGATAGTTTCCATTGTGGGATTTGGTGGTTTAGGAAAGACAACTCTAGCTAATGCTGTGTTTGAGAAGCTTAGTACACAGTTTGATTGCTCAGCTTTTGTATCAGTGTCTCAAACTCCTGATATGGATATATTATTCAAGGACATGTTCTATCAACTAGCCAATTACAATGCTGCAAGTATCAATCTTTTTGACGAGCTAAGACGATTCCTTCGGGAGAAGAGGTATGGATATATCACAAAAACTACTCATTAATTTATTTCTTGGAGAACCCATTATTGCCTCTTTTCCAGTCCTTGGTTCAGTACTCTAGAGCTCATTTTTGTGTGTCCATGTAATGATCTGCAACAACCGGAGATCCTTCTGGAGATGCAAAACAGAGACTTCTGGAGCCTTTTTTAGGACTAATTCATTCAGTGTAAGCAAAACCAGAAGCTTTGTTTTTGGTGGGGCCTGGCTAAGGGAAAAGCAAGCAGTTAAAAACAAGCAAAACCAGAAGCTTAGTTTTTCAGAATGCAGTAGATGTAGCAGTGCTCAGAGGAAATAAAACAGTCGTCCCTATTACAAAATCTCCACTTCCATTTCCATTCATCTATTGACTATCAATACATTATATACGCAAAGATTCAGAATTTGTTTCAAAAGAAAATAAGATTGCAGAATTTTTAAAGAAGAATTTAAGGATTAGCTTAATATATGGTAAATTCGTTTGAAACTATTATATAGTAAGTTTTAACTGAAATCGTTCACATGTTTCTAAGAATGAAAAGGCTGTGTTATTTGGCTACTTACTATTTGATAGCATGTAGCCCACCTATTGCTTTGCATTGCTCACCTACGTGTAGAAGAAGGCTTGCAAATATCAATAATAATATGGTAGACATTAGGCAGGGGCTGCCTTGATGCTTTACGAACATTCTTTTCCCTTGCTGATGATTGTGGTATCGATTACCGATTAATAAACCTTTATTATCCCTCAGTTATATAACATGCGCAACGCACACAAGGAAGATTAGAATTTTTTTTTTCTCATTTTGCTTAGTGGCGTACATGATACATGACCTTCTATTGCTCAATATGCAGGTACTTAGTTGTTATTGATGACATATGGAACATCTCAAACTGGGAAATGTTCAGATGTGCTTTGCCCGATGACAGTGTTGAATACAGGATCATCACAACTACCCGTAATTTCACAGTTGCTAAAGAAATTGGCGGTCCTTACAAGATGAAGCCCCTTTCTCTTGAGAACTCTAGGATATTAATGTACAAAAGAATATTTGGCAAAGAAGAAAAAGAAAAATGCCCCGATCAACAGCTAGAAGAAGTATCAAATAGAATACTAAAGAAATGTGGTGGTGTTCCCTTAGCTGTTATCACCATCGCTAGTTTGTTGGCTAGTAAAGGAAGAAACAAATTAGAATGGTTTGGTGTGTGCAACTCTATTGGCGCAGGACTAGTGGAGGATAATACTATAGAGAATATGAGAAAGGTTTTGTCACTCAGCTATTATGATATGCCATCTCATCTAAGGACTTGCTTGCTATATTTAAGTATGTTTCCAGAAGATTATGACATTAGAAAAGATCGTTTGATATGGTTGTGGATAGCCGAAGGTTTTATCCAATCTAAAAAGCAAGATAAGAGCTTATTTGAAATTGGGGAGAGTTATCTCAATGACCTCATAAATAGAAGCATGGTCCAACCCAAGCATGACAGATGGATTGGCATGATGGAATCTTGCCGTGTACATGATATGGTGCTTGATCTTATCTGTTCCTTGTCGAGCGAAGAAAACTTTGTTACTATACATAACAATATGGGTCACTCATCTGGATCAAAAAAGGTTCGAAGGCTATCCCTTCAAAATAGCAAGGCTAGTCATGGTAAACCTGAGGCTACATTGAGCATTGAGCATAACGCGAGGTCAGTTATTGTCTTTGGATCTGTACCAACAGTACTTGAGAACTTCAGCATTTTGCATGTACTGGATTTAGAAGGATGTGATCTTTCACAAAGCAATAGCCTTAAGTATCTTGGTAATTTACTTCATTTGAGGTACCTAAGTCTAAGACATACACATATTGATCAGCTCCCCGAAGAAATAGGAAACCTACAATTTCTACAAATAGTAGATGTAGAGTCATCCTCTTGGAAAGGAAGTCCTAGTTTGCCATCGAGTATTGTTGGGCTAACACAATTGATGAGCCTACGCATAGATTATTCGATAACAGTGCCAGAAGGTATAGGGAGCTTGATAGGCCTTGAAGAGCTTTTACATTTGTGCATTGACTGTGAAGGGAAGATGCTAGAAGAGCTGGCCCATCTAACACAGCTGAAGGTGCTGCATTTTCGGATCACCACTGGCAATTCCTCCGAGGCCTGCTTGCACAAATCATTGGTGGAGTGTCTAAACAAGCTCCAGAAAATCCATAGTATAATAATCAACATCAAAAATAGGGAATGCAACTTGGATGGTTGGGTCATCATCGCCCCTGAAAATCTCCGTACATTGCGATTACTTGGCCTTTGCTGGTTTGCTACACTGCCGGCTTGGTTGAAGGTGAATCCCTCCCTCCTTCGGGACCTCTCCGTCCTCGAGATCAGAGTGAAGCGGCTGCAGCAGGAGGATCTCGAACTCCTAGGGAGGTTGCCTGCTCTCCACAGTCTAGATCTGTTTGTAAGCCATGAGGATCAAGGGATCCATAAGAGATTTGTTGTTGGTGCTTGCTCGTTCCCATGCCTAATGCACTGCGGGTTGTGGGGGTTCGGACAGCCTGTGGTGTTTCAGCAAGGAGTCATGCCAAGGCTCAGGAGGCTTGGGTTTAACTTCCGAGTGCAGCGGACGAGAGAAATCAACGACAGTTTCGACTTGGGCCTGGGGAACCTGCCGTCGCTGCAGGAGGTCTACGTTTGGGTTCGATCTGGAGGCGCCGACGTGCAGGATGTGGAGGAAGCAAAGGCTGCGGTGAGGCACGTGATTGAGGTCCATCCCAATCATCCCACCATTAGGGTAAACAACTTCTGAAGATGAGGCTTATGCTCTGTTTATAACTTCCCCTTTATCTCCTTTTCCCATTTCTTCAAACCTAAATATCCTTTGTTTCTTCCCAGATTCATAGATGAACTATATGTCAAGGCTCGCAGTTGAGTTGTTGCAGTTCTGCTATGTTCAAGATGAGATAAATCATCGGTGGTTTCAACATGGTCTTGAGGAACAGACAGGGACCTGCTGTCCCTGTTAAGTTCTTTGCAAAGCATGTGATCAGGAATTTAGGATCAATCATGGATCATGGACTCATGAAGATGAAGGTGCACCTGTTCTCCTTTTCCCCCATTCCTCTTACGTAAATGTCCTCTCTGTTTCTTCTCTAGTTGTTCTTGCTTCTCTGCTTTTCCCCTTCTTCTGACATTTTTTCACCTTTTTTTACTTCTCAGGAAGTCTGATGGACTAGATCAGACACTGTATTTCAAGCTATGTTAGTGTTGATTGAAAAGTCACAGGAATTAAAATGCTCACCCGTGGATAGTACCAACAACTTACCCAGCAAGTAGTGCAATCTTGCATTGCACAGGTAATACATGCAATTTGTAAAGGGGAATCGTTCCTTAATTATTGTACCAGTATACCTTCTCGATTCTTCAAAAACCAGCATACCTTCTCAATAGTGATGTTCACGTTATTTTGTGGTTTGGTCAAGGAAATGTAGTTTTCCTACTGCTACTCTAGTAAACTTTTCTAATGTGTGATACAAATTCAATATTACAAAAAATACTAATCTCATCTTCCGTACAGAAAACTCTGTTCTTGCCCTGTTTTTAGGGGAACTGGAAAGTTAAATTGACCCTACAGATTATATATATAAACAAAAAAAAGTTTGCATAAGAAATATTACAAACTGCTAGTTCAAGAAAAACTCTGTAGCCATTCCGTAATATGTGGTTTATCTTGTTAAGAAGCAACAATTTGTATGAAACTAGTAATGCAACGCATGAACTGTTAGTCGTTAATTTTTATTTAATTTTGGGCATCATGAAGGAAGTAGCCATGCAAGTCACCCAAGGGACAAGGTGCATCTAGCGGCGGTGGCATGCAGAGAGGGACATCGAGCAGCTGACTGTTATTGGCGTTGCATTGCAAGTTCAAAAGTTCAGAACTCAAGGAGAGGAGATTTGGCAACTCGATAACCTGGAAGACACAATACTTGGGAAAATGATGGAACATAAATTACTTCCAAAACATGTTATTTCTAGTTGTCAAGGAAGACACTGTAATCTTTAGATTGCAGTTTGTGTACACTAGTGTATCCAGTTGTGTTTGAGCTAGCAGTTATATTTTTTGAGGAAACAGCTAGCAGTTATATTGTCATGAGTACATATATATATATCTGCTAATTATCTGCTGATACGATTGGAGAGCTAGCATGTATGATGTATCACGTACACATGAAACGAGCACTACTAGCTGTATGGATGAAACATCTGATTGTGAATGAATGACAAAATCATTTCTGATCTATCTGAATTTCAGCTGTTTTGTGTTTATTTCCTACTTCTCTTCACTGACTTGTAGGATGAAGCATCATCAAATCAAAGGCCGCAAAACATTTGATCCAGCTAGTATTTACGATTTGAAACTTTTCTTGATTCACAAAGTTTCATTTCACGCGTCGCTCACAATGGACACAACACTAAGAACAACATATCACACCATGTTTTGCACTTGCTACAGAGTATACTAACGCAAGAACAGAACTACAGATATGCACTCATCAGATGCCACTAGACGACGCACTCCTCTGCGCTGGCGCCGCCACGGCCGCCATGGCACTCCAGGGCGGCGACGTGCTCCCCATTCGTCGCCACCAAGTCCGGGTGCCCGTACCTCGCCGCGGCGACGGCGTAGCACCCAAGCACGTAGACGAAGGCGACGAACACGGCCCAGAATAGCTGGAAGTTAGCCAGCTGCTCGGCGCGCTCCTCCGCGGCGCGGCTGCCGCAGTCCACCTCGTCGCCTTTGGCATTGCGGTCGCACCCGTCCGGGAGCATGGGCCCGTAGAGCGTGAGCGCCGTCTGGTAGAACCACATCCCCTGCAGCACGATGAGCGTGCCCGCGGCGACGTCGACAGGGAAGCTCTCCGGCAGGAGCGCGCCGAGGACGGTGGTGAGGATGCAGAGGCCAATGAGGATGACGAGGAGGTGGTGGTAGTAGCCCTCTAGGCCTGTGTGGTTGGCCGAGTAGTAGGAGAAGAGGAGGAATTCAGATGTGAACGCCGCCGCCGCCACCAGGCACAGCTCGCCGTCAGTCAGGGGCAGGTACCTGCGGTGGTGATCACCATTGCAGTTGCAGAGAGCTCAGCTTAAACTGGATGTGAACTGATAGAAAAATGTCACCTTTGACACGAGATTATTATGCAACGAGATCGGTCATTACCAAATTTTTGTCTCAGTTCGACTTTCGGTGCTACGAATTTCACACAAACTCTACCAATTTTAAGCTTTCTGGAGAATGGCATAATAATTTACACAGTAACTCAAGAACAGAGTTGACAGATCCACGGAGTACGAAGAACGATGGGCAACACACACCTGGTGCACTTCTGGGAGAGGAGGGCGAGCGCGCCGAAGAGGAAGAACATGAGGAGCATGCCGGCGTGCTCGAGGTAGATGAGGCTGGACTCGGGGGCGACCCTAACCCCCGCCGCGGCCGGCGAGGACGCCGCCGCCGAGCTCCAGGCACATGTCGAGGAACGCGCCGCCGGCCACCACGTAGAGCTCCAGGAGGCGGGGCGCCCTGGGGAGCTCGAGTGGGCACCAGGCCCGGACGTGGAACGCCGGCGGGTCCGCGGCGAAGCGCGACACGGCGGACCATACCCGCCACAGGCCCACAGCCAGAAATAGTGTTCCCGGCAGCACGTGGCCGTTGAACGACCCCATTTGGTCTCTCGGCTCTCGACGGCGGCGGCGAGGTGGTGTCGGGCCTCGGGTCGCTGGACGGGGCACGGCGATGCCGGACCGCGCGGGGTCGCTGGATCAGAGGCAATGTGTGCCGGCAGCCAGACTCCGATCCTGCCCCTGGGGAAAAGGAAGAGAGGTTGGGGAGCCTCCTCCGTTTTCGCTTTACGAGAAATCCTATAAATAAGTGTCGTTTTCGCTTTACGAGAAATCCTATAAATAAGTGTCGTTTTTGCTTCATAAGAAATGACTATCGACAATTATATATTAAAATATATAAATATTTATGTTAAGTAATTAGTGTCATCGAAAAAAAAAAATTTAATCTAGTTTTTTAATAAATTTATTTAAAGATATAAATATTACATGTATTTTTTATAAATCGAGTTAACCTCGTGGCATAAAAACTTAAAACGTTACTTATTTTTTAGATGGAGGGAGTAGATGGGTGGGTAGATCTCGATCGGCGAGGATTCGACGGGGAAAAAAAGCAAAATGCTTTCGTTGTTAGGTGCCGGGGTCCAAGATTAGAGACAGAGACGGGACACCATAGTCTAGTCCAGTCCAATAGCTTCGTCCTCCAACAGTATTGTGCTGCCCCTGCACGGCTGCACTGCAGATCTTGCTCAGAGATTCAGAGCTCCGGCGAGGCATGTCTGCGTTTCTTGGCGTCCCAGCTCGGATTTGGTCAGATCCCAGGTGTCTCTGCGTCGTGGAGATGCTTCGTCTGGTCAACCCTGTGACGTGATGTCTTCTTTGGATCATCTGGTCCCTTGACTACTATTCACTCGCAAAAAAAAAAGGAATACTGTAAACCCGTTTGATCAACCTGCACCAGGCAGCTCAAGAAAATAATAGCGGTTAGACAAATTTAGGGATAAAATTGTAAGAAATTCGTCCAGTTTGAATGAAATGACTCAAAACGTTAACATTAGTACTTCCTCTGTTTCGAATTATAAGTCGTTTTAACTTTTCTAGATATATTTCTTTTACAATATATCCAGAAATAGTGTATAACTATAGCAAAAACAATGTATCTCCCTATCGTCAGTTTCATTGAAGGTTTTATGTCCTATTTTCTAAAACTCACGTGTGTTGAGTTTTATTCAATAAAATTTTCGCCGTCTTTCTCTTCATGTGTGCTATACCATGTAATTTTTTTAATTGCCTACTATATAAAATTCTCAACGAACTTCTACTAAGACTGGTCTATTGCAACATTAAGGGACATAATTACTGCAAGCCCAAAAAGGCTCTATTTGCCCCATTTCCGTCCATAGTGTCTTATTTCTACTCTCGTAGGACCCGGGCCCTATGTCCCTGGGCCAGACAATTTTAGTGTATATAACTCAGCCCACAGGCTTTAAGGCCTAATATTACCATGTTCTGTTTTCGTCATTTATCTCCGGAAAAAGTCCACTTTAGGTCCCTCAATTTTCGCGAAAGTTCGCTTTTCATCTCTCAAATCTAAAACCGGACAAAACACATCCTCAACTTTTGAAATCATGCAAATTACATCCCTCAATAGTTTCATACGATGTGGTGCTACAGTAATGATTGTTGCTACAGTACGATGGTTTTGGATGGTGGTTTTGAAAATCATAGTAAATAAAAAAAATCGTAAAATAAAAAATCCAATCTTGTTGGACTAAACATGAGTAGATCTACAGTACACATATAATATAGTATGCATTAGTCCAACAAAATAGCTATAGAAGCTACAACTATGAATTATTCTAATTAATTATAGAAAAGCATAAATCTAAAATTACAGTAAAAACTTTGTACTAAAGCATACCATATTATATGTTCACTGTGTAGATGTATTCATGTGGAGTCCAACAAAATTAAAATTTCCATTTTATGATTTTTATGTGATTTACTATGATTTTTAAAAATTTAGCCGAAATAAATAAAAAAGATGAAACAAAACCATCATTACTGTAGCAACCCATCATTACTGTAGCAACCACCATCAAAAACCGCTGAGGGATGTAATTTGCATGGTTTCAAAAGTTGAGGGATGCGTTTTGTCCGGTTTTAAAGTTGAGGGATGAAAAACGGACTTTCGCAAAAATTGAGGGAGCTAAACTGGACTTTTTCCTTTATCTCCGAAAATTTTATGACCATTTGGGCCACAGTACCAACAAGGTACGACCTTGCCACTATGGGCCGACCCGGCTGGTGCTGAACTGCATGGGTTTGAAGCTTTTCTTTTCACGTGGGCTTAGAGGTAGAGTTTGCATGGGATCAACAAGACCTCTGAACATATGTTTTCGAATAATTTTATAACATATATTGCACGTGTTGTATCTACTTCTATATTAAGTGTGTAGCAACATATGTATAAAAGTATTTAACAAATTATATATATAAATTAGTGTGTAGTGGCCATATATATACTGATAAATTAGTGTGTTTACCTCACTATATATCTACTCAGGTTGCTACTTGTGTGTATTGATTAGGGTTGCAAGATTGTTCATACTAATTCAAGATCGCAGCACTACCAACTAGAGTTGCAACAGGCATCCTGATTAGGATTATGGGAGAGTACATCCTGATGAGGCCTTTGTCCCCGTTACTAGCTATAGTGCATTACGCATGCATGATATGGTGCCCTAACTAAAAAAAGGAAGCTTATCAATGATGCATCTTCTGTAGTTATAGTACACTAGATATAGTGTACTATTGTAGAATATAAGTAACGGATACTATCACATGGAGGCATGCATTAGTAGCCACCATTGGTCGTAGCTCTCAAATCTTTTTTGTAGAATACAAGTAATAGATACTATCACATGAATGCATTAATAGCCACATTGGTCGTCGTAGTTCCCGATCATATGTAGCAAATGCACCGAAAGTCAAGAGTATCTTGCAGGATTTTTGGAGATAGGTGATGATCGTTTGCGCGCACACCAGTGTTGATCGGCTGTCAGGTGCGCGCTGCTGGATTATTCTCATACTGTATTATGAACCCACCACTAGGCGTTGACCATTTTATAAATTAAATGGAGCATTTAAACTCGAGTTGAAGGGGGACTCAAACCATTTTAGGATTTGCTCACTAGTGCACTAAACATCTTTACGGCTAGTCAAAATGGAGTACCAAAATCATCTCTACATCATCATCGATTGTAAAAATCAAGCATGTTTAGGAACGGTCTTCCAACCTTCCCAAAAATCTCTACATCATCATCGATTGAGACAGTTAGATCCCTCCTAGAAATACTTAAATTACATTACTAATCATCGATGGGCATGCAGCCTTAGAGACTTCACGCCCTAGAATTGATCATATCTTCTTCCTTCCACAGCGGATCGATGCAGACCAAACACGCCCTAGCTGTCCAAGTCTCTATGAGCGCTATCTTCTAGAAAAAAAAAAAGATTATCCATGACATGCACGCATTTCGTTACCAGATCGACAGATCGGATCCGATCGAGAATTGCAGATGGCATATGCATGTGAATGAATTTTCATTTCCATAATGGTACGTTGGCAACATACCATAAACAGGAGCTAACTCCTATATATATAGCATTACCAACACTCCACACATAGTACACAGCATCTATCGATCTAGAGCAAAAACAACGCAGGGAGATCGTTCGCGATATCTATAGCTAGTGTAGCTAGGCCACTGCCGGCCCGCTGAAACCCTAGCCAGCCAGCCAGCGCAGCCATGAAGCAGCAGCTGGTGGCGGTGCTCGTCGTAGCGTGCGTGCTCGCGCTCGCCTTTGCCGCCGCACACGCCCAGCTCCTGGGGCGGTGCCCCAACCGCTGCGGCGAGCAGGGCGACGGCATGGAGTGCCCCAACAACCAATGCTGCAGCAAGGACGGGTACTGCGGCATAGGGTCCATCTACTGCGGCGACGGCTGCCAGAGCGGCGCCTGCCACGCCGACAGGAGGTGCGGCGCCCAGGCCGGCGGCGCGGTGTGCCCGGGCAACCAGTGCTGCAGCGGGGACGGGAGGTGCGGCTTCGGCAGCGAGTTCTGCGGCGCCGGCTGCCAGGGCGGGCCTTGCCGCGCCGACATCAAGTGCGGCCACCTCGCCGGCGGCAGGGAGTGCCCCAACAACTGGTGCTGCAGCCAGTACGGCTACTGTGGCTTGGGCTCCGAGTTCTGCGGCGTGGGCTGCCAGAGCGGCGCCTGCATCGCCGACAGGCACTGTGGCTCCGGTGCCGCCGGCGAAGCCAAGTGCACCAACAACTACTGCTGCAGCAAGGACGGCTTCTGTGGCCTCGGCAAGGCTTACTGCGGCGATGGGTGCCAGAGCCAGTACTGCGGTGCATGCTACCTTAGATCCCTTGTGGATGCCTTGCGCCTCTGCAACATACCTTGATCTTGATGATCGAGCTATCTATCTATATTGCCATGGGAGCATTGGTGCCATCGCTTTTTTTTGTTGAATCTTTTCTTCAGATGTTATCTTGCCACCACATTTTAGTTTTAGGCCCGATGGCCGTGGAGGGTTTGCACCGCATGCACACGTCGGCTACCGCATTCGAAAAACACTGTATTGGCGGAAAGCAGAAAGTAGCCGGTTTTCTCTCTCCTCTTTCTCCGCGTCACTGTAGCGGCCCGAAAAAAGCCAAGAAAAACGGCTTCTCCGTCTTTGATGAACAGTGCCAATGTCAGTGAGAGGGGGAGGGGAGGAGAGAGAAAACCAGTTTTGCTACAGTACCGTAGTCCCTTGTGGAAGCCGTCGCCTCTGCAAGCCTTGATCTTGATGATCCGCTATCTATCTAAAGCGGGACCTTAATATACCCATGGATACATTGCCTCAGCCAGTGTGTGTTGTGTTGTGTTGGGCTGTTGTCGTTGGCCTTTAACTATTTCTCATAGAAATAAGCCGCACCTGCATTCGTTGTAACCTTTGTTATTCTTGTTAAGGGTATGGTAATGGAATATATTTTTAGTTGATGAAAATTTTTGAGTGGATCAAAGTTGATATCTAAAACTTTGTAGTGACCCC